AATGACTTCCTGCCTCCTCAACACTCTTACATCCCCATGTATGAATTGATGGAAGTAAATCTGCACGAAGCCAACCAATTGTGATCCCCGCAATTGGATGGCAATCCACAACAGAGAAACATGGTAGGCATCCAGGATCAGCTGCACCCTGGCCCACTGCTGCAGAAACTAGCAGCACTGCTCCCAGCAAAGAGAAACCTTTACAGATATGACACAGGAAACTGGAAAGACCTTGATATTTTGTGAGAAGAAGGGGTTTCTAAGGAACAATTTAAATTGAGGGCTCATTTTACCCCCAAACAATCCAAGCATTCCAAGCAAGTAAGGTGACCACTGTCAGGAACAGCACCAGGAGCAGTGAGCAGGAGATAACATACAGGGCAGGACAAGCATTCCCATCATGAACATCAATTCACTAGTTTTGTTCTCTCAAAAAATATACAGAGAAAACCAATTTGTGAAACCTTCCTTCGGATTATCCTTGGTGCAAAGGCATGAACTTCATGGAAGGTGTTTATTCTATGAAAATCACGCAGGTGTGCCTGGCGCAGTAGCAACTATCAGTGTGGATAGAGTAAAACCAACCAAGCAGTAGTGAAAGTCTTGAACATCTCCAGAGAAGGAGACTCCACCACCTCCCTGGCCAGCCCATTGCAGCCCATTTGCTTTACATTAAAACTCAGACAAAGGATAACACTTCTTTTGCGACTGAATCCATAAGTGATAATGCATAGGTCATGGAAACTCACTGTTTCTCTGTTCCTGCTGTGCGCCACTGCATTAGTTTGACTCATTCAGCTTCTGCCAGTAGTCAAATCCTGAGCACAACTGCACAACAGCAGAACAGTGACTTGCTACCTACTTCCCTTCCCATGAGGATCTTTAAACACAGATTAAATTTAAGCAGCTAGCATTGTCCCATTGATGACTCATTAGGGAAGAAGCAGGAGATCTATTGCAGATATTCCAAATTCTGTTACTTACCTTATTAATGTATCTCTATGCCTCAGGTCTCTTACCCTTGAAAGATCTTTAAAATAAGCTAGAACACTAAGGACATAAGATAGCACAGTAAAACTAGCCAGTCCATTTATTTCATATCAAACAAAAGCAATGTACAATATCAGTAAACAGCTAGTAAGTCTAATTTTAGTTTTTACAAATGCTCCAAAAGAATAATGTTTTGCACGATTGTTGACTGGGGCTTCCTCAAAAAAAACAATTATTCCTTCCTTTTCTCCTTGATTTTTAACCATCTCTTTCCAAACCTTCCTAATTTTCTAGTAATTTTCCCATTTTTGTTGATTCCTTTTTCTTTGTTGTTGCTGAATTGTGACAAAACAAACAAGATACGTTGGTTTATTGTCTCTTTCTAGTATTTTTTGGTTGAACTGGTAACATCTCACGGGGGCAGTTCATATTTTCCAGTAAGATAAGCAATGGCCATGAAACTAAAACTTGTTTTCTTCTTGTGGGCTGGCCTGAGGCTATTACGATGATTTATGTTTCCACCGTCCGGAGATGTTGAACATTCACTGCCAGATGCCAGGAGATACTATTAGTGGTGAACTTTGATCTCCTCCCTGCCCCATATGTGAAAGTGTTTCTGGCACAGAATGGACATAAGCATCACCCTTGGCACGAGCAGTATCAGTGTAAGACTGCCATTCATGAAACACATATGCATTCCCCATGAACACACAGGCCAAGATACAGCAGGGAAACGAGATGAGAGACGAGAATGCTTCTTAAGCTGGGGGAGGAATGAGAAGAAGCAACGCAATGAGATGGACCTCTAGAATGGGAAATCCCAGGTAAGGATGGTATATAAACTGTGTGCAGGATCTCACTAGCCTCAAATGCCTACTCTTGGACCAGGCACGAGGCCCACTCAGGCTCTTGGAGATTCCTCTCATTACATTCCCAGATCCTAAGTCCAGTGTTCTCCTCTGGCCTTGCCACAGGCTGCATTCTTTGATCCTTTTCTGAGCCAAGACAGCTCATTATAGTGAAAAAGATTTATCCAACAAAGAAATGTGGAAATACACCATTTGCTGCCATTTCACTGGGCTGATTCAGTTCACACAGGGCTGAAACAAACAGAGTCAGCACAGTGGAGCTATAGGTGGTAGGATTTCAGTGCCCTAATTGTTCGCTGTGGATACATACTTACACATTTTGCTTAATTTTGACCATACACACACAGTCTGCATGTGTAATAGTATGTTGAACAGGGAAGCAGCCCTTGCTGGCTGTCCATGTCCACTCAGCCAAGCACCTTCAGCTCCCCAAACTGGGGAAGAATTCTACTGGGAATGGTACCCAGCCTCTGCTCACTCCCAGGTCACAACTGGAGGGAAGAAAGCAGGAAAAAAAATCAGGCAATTTAATAGCAGAGGCACCCAGGAGGCTGTATCTGAATATGCTCCGTAGTGCAGTTTAGTCCATCAGCATAGGTCAAGGCACCAAGTCCCTATTTTAATGAAATACAAAATAAAAGCAAACACACAAACAAAATAGCCAATAGCAACAACAACTTGAGGACACAGCCCAACCAAAACAGTCAAAACCACTATTGCTCTCCCAAGGCACTGCTTTCTCCATTCATATGCTGCCTTCCGAGTACCCCTAAGATGTTTTGAGTCAACAGGACTTGCACTTATTTATGCCATGGTTGACTAACCACTATTTTGCTGACTTCCTTCCTTTCCTGAATGTTCCCCCTGCTTCTCTCTCTTGGACGATGATCTTATCATGTAAACATTTCCCAAATGCTATCAGGACCTCAACTTGACACTTCAGAGTAGTATCAGTATTTTAGAGTAGTACTTATTGGTAAGCCTACACTATTTCATGTTGATGGGGCTTTTTCTTCACAGCCCTCATCCTGCTGATGTCCAGCAAAGCCGTGAGAGCTTTTCCCTCAGTTCTTGTGGGGGATGTCTGTGGCTCCTGCCTGCTTTTCTTCCTAATAAATAATCACATTTTGCTGGCAGCCATCTCTACAATTCAAGTGTGGCACTGTATTGAAAGGACCCGTTTTAGGGTAGAAACAGAATTTGTCCCTTTCAAAGGAGGGGTTTAGTGAATCACAGAATGGTTTGGGTTGGAAAGGGCCAGAAAGATCATCTGCTTATCTGCAGACAATACAGGGTGCAGCTGCTAAGCTTGCCTTGCTAAGATTGCCCTGATCCATCAAAGCATGCAAAGCCAGTGCTTCACCCCTGTAGCCCCTCCACCTGAGATTATTCTCACCTGGTTTCAGCCATTTTGTACCTAGAAACCTAATCTGAGCAGTCCTCTGGAAGGGGAGGTGGTTCTTCACATCCCAAGAGAGGCAGCCAAAGCTCTGGGCGGTGCTCATCTCACACCACTGATGGCAGAGGCACTTCACTCTGAGGGAGCCAACAGTGGCTGGATGGACCTACCTGAGGTTGCCAATGGTTGGTGAAGCTGGACCTACCTGAAGGGCTTGGGTGAGTACCTGGCTCATCAGGCTCATGCCAAGGTGCAATGGGCTCTGCATTTAGCCCTGCTAAATGTTCTGCAGCAATTCCTGAGATAAATTTAAAAAAAAAAAAATCTCCTCTCCCTCATCACCATCAATTATTTGATCCTCGTGGTTCAAATTAAGATGAATGAGCAGACCTGTGACTCAGCAGCCAGCTTTCTGTGAGGGTTCAGCATCCTTCTAAATGAAGGTTTCTGTGGTAAGGCTACCAGTGTGCTGGTGGGATTTACCTGAATTTGTGGCTGAATTTATGGCTGAATTCATTGGAAAATCTGGCCCAGCCTGTACATATAGAATGGGAAGATGTCTGTCTCTTTAGTAAGCCTGATCCTTTGCATTTCAACTGGTTTCTTGTCTACCCTTTCTGCAGCTGTTACCTCTTGCTGTCCTACAAGGAGAGAAACAACTCAGTGCCTGAAACACAAAGAAAGAGAGAGGAAAAAAAAGAGAGAGAATTGTACAGAGGCCTGGTTTCCAGCACTCATCTTCACAGGCATGTGGGCACGGTGTGAATTTGCAGCTCTATGGGACCAAACGCTTTGCATTCACACAGGCAGGGCAACTACTTGATCCCCCACTGAGACGTGAATCCCTGGGCTCAGGCTGACATCACCCCTGGTTTGTACAGCTTTGGGCTGCCAGTGTGTGAGAAGCCAGTCATCTTCCTACAGCAATGGGATGGCAAACGACATCTGGCCATCCAGTGGGACTGTCACCTAGCCTGCCTTGGCTGGACGAATGGCTGCAGGAAGATGGCTTCACCTCTGTAGGGTTTGGACACACAAATCTGCTCTGAGCTGGGACTTCAGTGTCACTGCCTGGAGAGTGTGAAGTGGGCACCACATTGGGTGACCAAGCAGATGCTTCAAATGAGGAGAAAATGTCATCTGCCTTCCATGCCCACAGTTATGCGTGCACAAATATGTCAAGGGCATCAAGAATTTTATAATGATACTCCCTCAGCCATGGTTCCAGTTTAAACCGCTGTAATAAACAAAATACACAGAGCACATCGTTGGCACCAGAAGGTATAATTTTCTCTGAGTAGAAATATTACCAAAAAAAAAAAAAAAAAAAAGTAGGATTTCATCCAACTTAGGAAGAAATCTATGCAGATCTTTCCTTTCATTAAACTTCTCAACTATTATTAAAGGCAAGTGAGTAGCCAGAAATTCTTTGATGATGACATTGAATCATTTGATGATAGAGTACTTTGGAAAGGGCTGCAGATGCTGGTAAAAACCTTGGGTCTCAGGAAGAATTATCTTTCAAATGTTACAATACTTTCCCTTTTGGGGGAACACTTTTAACTCTCTTTTTCAAGTGAGCTCTACATTTTCTCTCAAATACTTTGGGCTTGCAGCTATGAGAAGAGTGATATATATAAGGCTTTTTCTTCTGGAGCTGCTGAGGGGCTGGAGAGATGGAAAGAGAAAGAAAGTACCACAGCAAGAGACCCTGGCACTGTAGGAAGTGAACCACACAGCCCTCAATAATAACAGAAGTGTTTATTTTCCTACTGTTTAAGACAATCCAGAAAACCATCAGGAAAACACAAGTTACATAGGGAACAGTTCAGCACTGTGTAACTTGGGGAACAGGTTACCCAAGGAGCATCCTCCATCCCTGCAGGCATTCAAGGCCAGGCTGGATGTGGCTCTGGGCAGCCTGGGCTGCTGGTTGGCGACCTGCACACAGCAGGGGTTGGGACTGGAGGAGCGCTGTGGGCCTTTGAACCCAGGCCATGCTGTGATGCTACAATTCTATGAACTCCTCCTTATTAGAAATTCTTTTATCTACATATCTTTACAGCAATCCCTAGCTAATTAGATTGTATTACTGGGGACACTTCAAAGATGACATGATTTGCCAAGGTGGTCCTCAGAGGATGGACTATTTCAAGGTGCTTCTCTTGCCATGTCACTCCCATCTGGTGGCATTAATCTTCTCCCAGATCTCATCTTTCTGGTTGTTGTTTTTTTTTTTTAAAGTCAGTGTAAATGCCTTCATTCTGTAAATGAAATGAACTTGTCCTCAAGCACACACAGAATTCCTTCACAGATCAACAGACTAAGTAATCCCACTGACTACAAGCCTGGATTTAGGGATAAGTACGTGACTATGAGGTTTGTCAAGTGGGAATCAAAGAATCAGAAGACCCAATGCAAGTGGTACCTGGCCAGCTTTGGAGGACTACAAAAATGAGACAGAGGGTTCTTGTGAGTTCACCTGAGAAATGGAAGCAGAAATCATTTCTTCCTCCTCTTCATCATACAATCACAGAATGCCTTGGGTTGGAAGGGACCTCAGGGATCACGAAGCTCCAACCCCCCACCACAGGCAGGGCCACCAACCTCCCCATTTCACAGCAGCCCAGGCTGCCCAGGGCCCCATCCAACCTGGCCTTGAACACCTCCAGGGATGGACGGGGCATCACAGCCTCTCTGGGCAGCTGTTCCAGCACCTCACCACTCACATAGCAAAGAACTTCCCTCTGACATCCAAATTTCCCCTTGACATCCAAAGAGACATCCATAAATGAGACAGGTCAAGAGCAAACGTGGCACAGGACAGGCAGAGATGGCAAACAGCAGAAGGAGTGAAATAGCACTGACATTGTCATGGTCATTCTCTCTCTAATGTCCCACCTGGTCCCAGAAGCCAGTGGAAACAGAGACACTCAAAGACCCAGAGAAGAACTTTTCAGAGAAGTCTTCCATGTTCCTACACTTCTCCATGGAACCAGCATGTCTCCTTGACTCTTGCTTTCTCTCCCAAGCCCACAGTCTCTGGGTTTCTTTTGTAACTTACCAGCACTGTGTTCTTTCTTTACTTACCCTGGTTGGTCCTTCCCCTTCCAGATGAAGTAGGGTTGTGCCTTAAAGCAAACCACAACATCCCATTAAAATGTGACTTGATGAGGCCGAGCAAGAGCCCAAAGCTGCCCAAGCAGCTGCTTTTCCCACTGCCTTTCTGAGCACCAGCTGGAATGGGTAACACCTTCATTGTTCTTTCCCCTTTCAAGAGCACCATGGGGATGGGTGCATCGAGAGCTGCCCCAGTCCCAAAGGCGGCCACGAGAGCCTCGTGCGAAGTGGATGTTAGAGCAGAAGTGGAGAAAATGTTTTCCTCAGGTTTTACATCAACAAAAGTCACATCAGCTAATTCCCTTGCTGCCTCTGCACCTTCCCAGCCCAGGTCCCCCCTGAGGAGGTACAGACCTGCCTCATTTCTCTGTGCACAGCACTCACAGCTGGGGGATTTGGCTGCCAGTGGAGCCCCAGAACCAGGCTGGTGGCTGTTGGGAACAATGGCATTGTTGCCACAGGAATAAACATCCTGGTGGCTCGTTGGTGTTTATCTGTATCCCCATTCTCTGCTGATTAACCCAGCCAAGCGAGGTCTTCATGTGGTAATTACAGCACAGCTCATTTGTGTGTGTTTTACAATGGTGTTGATATAATCCCACTAGAGCACCCCAACCATGTGCAAGGAGTTCCCACCAGAAATCCAAATAACGCCCCAGTGCTGCTGACAGCTTAATAACATGACAAAGTTCAGTCCCGCTGGATGTCAGGGACAGGAATGCGGCTCAGGCTGCTCTGACCTGCAGCTTTCCAAACACCGTACAGTTGGGGCTGAGCGTTTGACAAATAACCTTTTCTTTGCCTGCTCATATCCATCAGGCGTTACCAGGTGCCACAGAGAGGCCACATGCCACTGTTAAAATGTTAAATTGAGTGGCACGGCCATCAGAAGCTCTGGGGAGGGACATTTATCTTTATTATTATTGTTATTAATAATGCAGATATTGCTGCACGTCGCATTCCAAGGTATTTTTGCAGCACTAAATCATCCAAATGCCCATTGACGGCCCTGATAAATCACACAATAAACCAAAATTCAATACAGCTGTCAGCCCAGGCCCCGAGCAAATCGCAGGGAGCTCAATTGTGAAGTTTAAGCAGGGACTGTGTGCAGTGGGACGGGAGCAGCGTGGCACGCACTGCAGGCATTGGGAAAGGGATGGCTGCTCATGATGGCATTTCTCATTGTTTTCTTCTTTCTGCTTACTTTTTTCTTTTTTTCCACTGTTTCCTTACTTCTTCCTTAAACCTTTTATCCCCGTCCGCATCGCTTCTTCTTCTGCTCCTCTCCTTCCCTCCCATCCCGTCTCTGTCCTCCACCACTTGCCTTCCAACTCACCATCCCCTTTCTCCCTCTCTCTCTCTCTTCTGCCCCTCCCCATCAAAGAAAGGAAACCGTAACCCAAAGGAAGAACAAGAATTGAACCGATGCCAATGCAATGGGCCAAGAGGCTACATATGGAACCAGCAAATCACAGAGCCATGAAGGATGTTAGTGATTTAAAGTTATGTATATTGAAGTCTGGATCTTAAAATGAATCCATAATGGTAGAGGTAACTAATGGGGAGACTTAACTGACAGCAAGCAGAATTTTTTCTTTAACGTCGTTACGTTCCCACAAACTCCTCTTTTCCGGTCCCCACCCTTCCCGTGCTCCCCTTTCTGATTAGTTCAGTGCTGACAGTGAAAAGCTAAAGCTGCTGCTTGATGAATAAAGAACTGAAGCCCATACACCGTAAATAGGAGTGCTCCCTGGGCTGCATGCAGAGAGGGGCATCCCATGGGCCGTTCTGGGGAGCTGTACCCTGTGGCAAGGGATGACTGATGTTCCTGCCTGAGTGAATACAGCAGCATGAGTCCCGCTGTGATACGAGGTACCTCCCCCCCAGGATGAGTGGCAAGAAGCAGCTGGTCCCCCCACACACCAAATGCACCAGTTGTCTGTGAGCACTGCAGATATCCTGAGTTAAAATGCTGCTCTGAGCTACGTGTGTGGATAGATGCACGTTTGGGTACACGTGCATACAAAATATTATATATTGGAAAAAAAAAAAAGCAAACAAACTACACACGACATTCACCATAGTTGCAAAGTCAAACACTCCAATGATAGGAAAGGGGAAATATTGTTCATTTGACCTGAATTTGCTACTTCATATAGATGAGCATCCTGGTGGCCCCACGACATGAGGTGGCACCATGCACAGTGCAGAGGCACTGAGCACCCCCTGCTGCACCTGAAGGCAGTGGGAACTGCCAAATACTTGCCTCTGCTACTTAGTGTATATTCATACACACCCTTCCAAGCTCATCTATGCCCACTCATCCAGAGATTGTTCCTTACAAGCAGCCATCCAGTTTAAGAAGGAGCACCCACAGCTCTGGGCAGCAGTGCCAGCGCTTCCCATTAGGATTTCTCCCTAATGTCTAATCTAAACCTGTCCACCCATCTTCTTCATTTAAAACCCTTGCCCAGTGTAAGTGAAGCACTTGCCAACAATGCTGCTGTGGAAAACATGACGCCAGGACTGTTTGGAAGATCTTCTGGTCTGAGTGTTAAGGGATAAAGAAGGTTCAGCACCACACATTGCCAAGCAAAGAAATGGCACTGCAGTTTTCCTATGTTGGGGGAACTAGAACTATTAGAACTACCCCCTCATTCTCTCTGCTTTTATTTTTTTTTTCTTTTTTTCTTTTTTTTCAATATAGGGCTTTCCACACTACTGCACCTTCTTCCCTATGGCACGAAATTCCCTTTCGCTTTCCGCACTGCTTATCTAAAGCAATGCTTAAACAGATGAAAGCCCCTACAGTGTGGATACATTGCAGGGCTGTGTCTCCCTCCAGCTGCAGAAGAGCAGAGTGGGAACGTCCCAGGACGCAGAGAAAACCAGCCTGGAAACATCACCAAGCTGCAGGGTTTTCCTTTTCCTCCATGCTTCCCTGGGGAAAGCCTAGATGCTGTTAGCGGTGTCTGAATATTGGCCAGATTATGGGGCATGTGGGTAGAGCCTATATTTATTTTTTTAGAAGTATATATTTGTTTGATGTTTTGCAAGCATCTGCTTAAGATTTCTGTGCTTATCTAACGGGAGGAAAGAGCCCATTCTTCCCAAAGCCAATTCAGTGCAAGAAAAAGTCGTAACGCCGCTGGGCCCCTTTGTTTCATCCTTCGCCAGAGGGACTCCATGATTCCTTTGCTGCTCCTCGGAGAGCCAAGAGCGGTGGCTGGCAATTAAAGGCATCTGCGGGGCTCACGAGAGGGAAGGCGTGCAGGAGATGAAGAATGGATGGCACCTGAAAGGCCTAAACTCTTGGCTGGCGCAGTCTGGGCTGATAGCAGCACGTCTGATGGGATGTGCAGGGTAGTACAGCAGGTATGGAGGTGAAATAAAGAGAAAACAAATGAACTGCTTGCTGACAAAGCTCCCTCCAGCCCTGCCCTGAGGGAAGAGGTGCCAGCAGCTCCTTGGAGCCGCTAAGGAGGGATTAGTTGGGTAAGGAGCAACGCAGCGACTGAATGACCAAAAAAAGACCAGTAGAATGGTGAGGCTGCTGGGGAAATAGAGGAAGCTTCAGTTTGTGCAGAGGAGATGCATAAGGAATGAAATGAATAAGACAGGAAAAGTAAAGAGTGGACAAGCTTTTGTGCCTGCTCAGTACGACAGACCCCAGGAGCCTCATCAGCCTTCGGTGCTGGTCATCCTCAGAGATGAACTCTTTGTGCAAACGCAATGAGCCGAGGAGGAACATCACACCAACACTCACGAGCGTGGGCTTGGAAATACGTTCTCATTTTCATATCACTGCAAGAGAGATGTGGCCAACAGGGTCTGATGCCTAGGAAAAAACGTTGAAATATCAACCAGGAGGAATCCAACACATTCCCTTCTCATTTTAGCTGCTGCATTATGAGCCCTTGTTGTTTCAGGCGGATGGTGACTGCCTGCTGCTTGCTCCGGGAGACTCAGATGTCTCTAATGCCTCTCTGGAAGTGGTTTGCTTTGGGGAAGCTAAATTCAAAACGCTGTGCCGCAATAAAATTTGTAATACTACACATTTGTGCATCACACCACCAGACCGGCAGCCTGGAGCTGCGCCACCCAGCCCTTCCTCGGCTGTGTCCAACCTCTCACAGCAAGAGCAACAGAAGCAATATAAGAAGCAACATATGAGATAAGGCAAGTGAAAACACACTCCATCATCTGGGCTCCGTCCCAGCCCAGGTATTTAGGAACATCTTAACCTGAGGATTCCACCCAAACTATCATGTTTAACAACTTTAATGGTCTGTTTTTCAGAACGCTATCGTATCCCTATTTGAACCCCACGTTCGTTCTGCTCTGCAAAGTTTCTGCTGGTAAAGGGCTCCAAAGCTCAACTGCACTTTGAAAATGGTATTTCTCCTTGTTTGCATTAGACTTGCTGCAGGATTACTTCATCAGGAAACCCTACCCTATGAAATGAGAAAAACTGAGCAGTAACGGCCCATCTCACTCCATCTGCTATTTGACAGAGCTGTATTATAACCCCATCAGCTCTCAGACCTGCTGTGCTGTGCTTGGGCACTGCCCTGGAGCTGTACAATCCGCATGGCACCCATGCTCATACCTGCTCCTACTTCTGCTGACATACCTCCAGCTCACTGTCCTTCCTTTCTACTCCACCCAAGTTCCACAGGTGAGTACAGCTGTGGGCATGCTTTCTCTCTGCAGCCACTCCTAGAGCCAACAGAACATTTCTGGTTAATAAAACCAACAGTTAACAATTTAAACAAAAGCCCAGGAATAACCCAATGAGAAAATAAACCACTTTTATTCAAATTACCAAGTGTTAATCACTCCCGAAATATCGGACTATAAACAGCTCCAATTCAGGAAGGTGGATTTCTGCAATTAACACGTACTCATTTGAAGGCTACAAAAGAAATATTTGCTTGTTTAGGCTTACAATGAAATAATAAGCAGATACTTTTCAATTTAATCTTAAAAATTAAACGGTTTCTTCAATAATAAAATATACTCCCTATGATACAAAAAGGACATTGACTTTATTCACAGGTGACAGTGCAGCCACGCAATCATTATGCTAAAGGCAATCTCAATGACATTTTAATTACATTATTCCTATGATATGTTCTGAGTGTTAGAGCAGCACACAAAGCCTCTAATCAGACCCCTGCCACGCTAGGAGCCGTACATACGGAAAGGAAATGCAGAGTTCTACTGCAAAGGGTACAGTCTGATCTAAAATTCTCCCTTAGGAGCGCCTCTGTGGAAAAGGAGGGGTATGAGAAGGGATGGATTACCTGCCTGACCTGATGGAGACCCTCACATGCACAGTCACTTTCCACAGCCAACCACTATCAAAGAGTTGTTTACAAACAGATGACTTTGAAGCTCACCAGATCCGACTTAAGAATCAGTCTTTAGGAGCCCCTGATTTTGCTTTCCCCCAGCAGACTGGCAGACCCAACAACAATGAGGTGTTTCTGAGACTAATGGCATTTTGGTGGAAGAAATCCAGCCCTTAAGATGGGTCTGGGCTGATAGCTAAGAATTGGAGTGTCTTTGAGTTACTTTTTGTCTGTGCCGTGTCCTGAGGGTGTTACTCCATCCCGACTTCAGCTTTTTAATATCACTGATGTTTTTAAGCAGCTCTGGGGCAGTTTGGGACCACTCATGTCCCTGCATAGACTGATTTCACACACAGGAGTGAAAACTTATCCATACACCTCTTAGGACTCCCAGACTGGTTCCTCCTCCTCCATCACCGGAGGGACAGCATCATGTGCAGTGGGCTCCTCTTCCTCTCCTTCAGCCTCAGACCCCCCTCACTAACAGGATTGGAGTCAGGATTTGGAACTGAGTGGGTTCTGAGGAAAAACAAAACAGCGTTTCTGCTCACCCTCAGATCTCACTACATATCTTGGTTTTGATCTTCAGGCTTTGGAATTGGAAACAGTCAGACAAGGAAGATAAATCTGTCAATCGGTGGATCAGAACTTGCCAGGCAGTATAGAGCAGGACTGTTAAAAAAATAAAATTTACAGGGAAAAAGGGATAGGATGATTGCTGAAGGATTTGTACAGATGAGGACCTGTTCCCCAGAAAGCAAAGCAAGCAGCTATTGGGAACGGCTTCACAAGCTCTGAAAACACAGCCATGTACAGAAGCAGTCAGCATTGCACAAGGAAGGAGGGTTGGGGCCAGGTTTTTTTCACCCCTATTTCCCAGTGCTGACAAAGCCCCATTCCTGGCAGCACGGGATGCAGGTCAGCAGCTCCTGCCTCTGCACGGCCCATGGCACTGCTTGTGTTCACTACACAGGGAACAAACCCAAGTGCTCAGCCAACAACAGCACCATTTCAGGAGCAGTTCACCTTGTGCTGCCTTCCATCCCAATGCACTCTTACAGAGCTGGTGAATTAAGTAATGCCATTACATAATAGAATCATTGAATCATAGAATGGCTTGGTTGGAAGGGATCTTTACGCCCATCCAGTTCCAACCTCCTGCTGTAGGGAAGGACTCCTCCCTCTAGACCAGGCTGCTCACGGCGCCATCCAGCCTGGCCTTGAGTGCTTCCAGGGAGGGGGCATTCCTCATAACAAATGCCTGTACATAGAACAGATGCTGTTTCTGGGAGTAGGACTCAAGGATCCTTACAGGTCTCTTCCAGATTGGAATATTCCATGATTCTGTGATTCTAAGCAAAGTGCTGTACAGAAAGTAATCCCAAAAAGAACACCAAAACAACCAACAAAAAACTGAGACTTGAACCAGACTTTAAGTTTTTACTGCAAAGCGTGGATTATTCTGCTTGCTCAGTCCTAAGCAGACTCTTCCAAATGAATTGTATGCTGCCTTGCTTACTCCATTCAGTCAGAATCAGACTCCTATATATGTTTTATAGCACAGTTTATTCCCAAAGATGGTGATAACTTCTCATTACCCCAAAGCTCTTAAAAAATTCCTCAATGAAAAAGTTGAGAAATCTGCTGTTTGGAAACGCTCCTTACCTACCATATATATCCGAACTAAAAGGATTGATTTGAGGAGGAAAGAAAGGGGGAAAAAGATGAATGTGGTGCCCATACCTATTTCCCAATATTTTCAGATTATAGACATAGAGAGACAGGGAATTAGCAACAGTGCAGGAGAATGGGCTGCAATGATGCTGCAAAACATAAGCAGGAATTGAGGGCTGTTCACTCCTGCTATGCTTCTACACTGCACAATGCTTTCAGGGCTCCCAGTAGTACCTATCAGCAGCAGCCAAGCTTTTCTGTTTTAATTTAATTTCATTTAATTTCTACCAACAAATTCTACCCTGTGGTGAGAACTGACAGCATCATGTGGAGAACCACTAAGGACTCTTTGGATTGCTTTTACAATGTGAGTATATGCATTACGACAAAATAAATCCCCCACCCTCCTCAGCTTTCGTTAGACACGCCATATCAGAATAGGAGTGGGGCAGGCAGCTCACTGCCTGTGGGTGGGAGATGCAGCAGAACATGCCTTTGCATCACGCTGCCAGCAGGGGATGCACCAAGACCCCGGGGCTCCACCACCATGGTTCTGGCAGCACTGGTGGCGTCCCCCAGTTAGAACTGGGACAGAATGGGATCTTTAGTGCTGCTTCTGCAATGAGACCACTGTGGCTGGTTCCATGCTTCTCTGACTGCTCGCAGTTCTCCAAGAACATCACACCTCAAACAGCTTCATCGTGGTGTAGACTTGGGCTCTACTGGGAACTCCTACTGGGAATTTCCCCGTTGGGAATTCTGCCATGGATTTCAAAGGAAACAGGATGATAACATCCTTCATTGATAGAGGCTTTCCTGCCATGACTTTCAGGCCCCAGTCCTGCAAGTGCAAGCACAGGCAAGCACTCATCCAGCACTAAACACTAATGTCCTTCAGAGCATTGAGCGGGGGCAGCAAGCGGTGGCACAGACAGCTCTGCTTGTGGAGCAGCGCCGCTGGCTGAGAGCATCGCAGTGCTGATATCAGCATTTCCTACCAAATGCTACCTACTGCATTACCTGCTAATTTCCTACCAAATCTTCCTGCTGCAACACCAGTGGGGAGCTGCTGGGCAGGGGTGGCCATCCCCCAGCAGTGCAGCCATCACCTGCTGGGCTGGACCAATGGCATCCCTCACAACTGCTCAGCTGGCGCGCATCCTCCGGGACACTGCCAGTGTTGGCATCTCTCTGATAAATGTTGAAAGGGGATGGTTTGGGCCAAGAGGGGAACAAGGGGCTGCAAGACTGCTGTGGGCTATGAAATGCTGCCTGGTGAGGGAGGTGGGGGTCTTCAGATTCCGGATACCAATGTTGGGCAGGGCCCTGCGTTCCCTGGAGCTGGAGTGTTGCTTGAACAAGGAAGTAAAACAGGTCACTGCTCTTTTCTTTCCCTGCCCAGAAGAGGAGAGGAGGTGGTAGGAACCGTTTTCACTGCCCAGCACAAAGTTGATGGAGTGTGGTAATTCAGCACCAATATAGACCAGAAGATCCGGACCAAGGGAATGGGCCATTTTGTGACCAAGAGTGAACATCCTATGTATCTGGGGGAAATCCCTCAGCAAAGCCATCTTGAACACGGTGACTGTTCCAGGTCCCAGCTGAAAATCACAGCCCAGACTAAACAGACCATCACTTTTGGTTAAAGTATCCCAGATGAAAAGATAGATTGTTAAAAAAAATGCTTTGAACACTGTTTTCTCCAAAAAATCATTACCTCCTTCAACATCTCAACAAGTACGAGCCTCCCAGCTTTCCTGCCTCCTCTGGAATCATTTGGTCATCGCAGACATCAAAACTAATGAAGAGTTGAAAGACTGAGTAGAAAGGCAAAAATCTTACTGGAAAATATTTCTTAATATGAAAAGCTATTCAAGAATATATCTAGCAGAATAATAAACAACTGCAAGCTTCCCAGTGCCTAGAAGAATACAAGTGAAGGAGGGCAATGGGCTTTGGGTTTACTTCCCTGTTTAAAACACCAGTTCATTTTACAAAGTGTGTGCTTCCATGTGCCCTTCAGGTTTCAAATGAGTGAAATTTCCAACCCCTACATTTTAGCAATGCCCCAAAGTCAGCGGTGAGCCAAACGTGGCCACTTCAGAAAGAGGGACTCTCTTTGCTTCTCACTTTTTCTGCTGGGACAATGGTGGGATCCCTGCTGCAAGCAATGACCTTTGGTTGCCATCCCCCCAGGTGGATGGGTTGCCTTAAGATGCCCTTCTGTGTGCCCACCTATGGGTACTCTGCTGAACTGGCACTGAGGGATGGAAGAATGGTTATGGGTAACCTGGAGCTGACTTTCTATGAATACAAGGGACGAGAAAAGCTGTCTGGGGGTCAAAATAAAATAAATACACACTCAAAATGACTGCTCTGCACAACATAGCAGGAAACAAAGATGTCTAGCTTCTTTGCAATACAGACCATAATTCCTAATAATAATAATAATAATTGGTTTAGTAGGAGCTATTGGGAATAGGTGAATGGTTGGACTGGGTGATCTTTTAGGTCTTTTCCAACCTTGGTGATTCTATGATTCTATGATTTCTCCCTGGTGGTGGTTTTCAGCTGATGCAAACATAAGAGAAGAGCTTGTAACCCATAGCTCAATAGTCCACAACACTCCTGATAAAGAAATACCTTTACAAGAGTCTTTCTGGTGGAAAAACTGTTTGTCGGAAGCTTTCTTTTAAGCAGTCCCGAAACAGATGCTCCCTTGATCTTACCTTCATAGGTATGCATAGGATGACCTCTTGGCAACTGAAAAAGTCTAACAAAAAACAAGAGTAACTTGTATATGGGATCTTTTAACACTCCCGTATCGCTGGTAATAGAAGAGAAATCAATATTAGTTCCAATATGAATGGAGTGTTGGATTGACTGAACAGGGAGCTTTGAAATAAATATCTAAGAAATGTTTGGATGAAATGGACATCTTTACAGACATTTGGTCTGCATTTCTGAAATGCAGATGATTAAATCCATATTGTTGGCTTCTTCCCCCTCTGCACTATGTCTTTCTTTACATCTTGCAAAAAATTTATGAACAAAGTTATTGTAAATCTGCAATGTCTGTCTTGTCACTTAGATTCTTTTCAGAAATGCTGCCTTGCCAATGTAGACATACAATCCTGTATGATTAATATTTATTACTTATAATTCTAAATACAATGGAAGGTCACCGAAAATACTCTGCCTAAAGGAGTCTGGAGCCCCTTAAAATCTTGATGGTGATGGATCCCGAGTCAGGAGTACTGAGCTCAAATTCAGTATGTGTAGGACTCAAACTTTTCTATATAGGATTTCCTGTGTTTCCTGCTTCTGCCTACGGCACAAAGCACAAAGGTGAGCAGAAGTTACAGACCTGGCAGCATGAACCTGCAAACCCAATGGTCAGGCAATGCTCGAACCTGTCCATGATCCTGGATCAGCCTATAACAAAGCGACGAACACAGTGCACAGTTAGCATGCAGAGCCAGACGTGGATTCCCCCAGAATGGGCATTACAGCTGGTGGAAAACCAGTGTCATTTCTTACCTCTTATTCCTTCTCGTATCTATCAATACATTTTGTCCAAATTTATTTTTTCTCTTTGCAGTGTTGCTGAGAGAGTGAAAATATTTTGATTTGGTATTGCCAATTAAAATTGAGGTAGTGTGGGGGCTTTCAGTTTCCTAATCAAATCAAAAAAGGATTTTAAGAACATCTAACCAAAAAGTCATTGCACCAACAGCTCATTTTCCTTCTGCTATGAGCCCACCCATTTCTAAACGTCATTTTTTAAAAAGCAGATGCAACTTGAGGCGTGCTGAGACTAAATGATGGCGATTTGGCCCTCTTCTAACAAAACCAAAGTCAGACAGGTAGAACGTTTCAGAAACATAGGATTCAGAAATGAAGGTTCAGAGATGGCCAAAATCAGGGCAGATGCTGGCTGCCTCACTCACCCTACTCAGCTGCAGGTGAGCACTGCCTTCTGTAAGGAGCTACCACAGTGAGCACAGAACAAGAGCTGCGTCTGACCCTGCGCCTTCATTCCAACATCACTGCCACTATGCCACCAGCTGCCTGCAAGCCTGGCCAACAGCAACTGCAAAAAGCTGCTCCTGGCCAAGGGGTGCTGCCAGCCAAAATCCAGCCCAGAGGCTGTTCATCACACAGCAGCTTCTCCCTAACAAATGAGATCACACGGTGCTGATAACACCATCCTGAGCGGCGCGCTGAGCGCAAACCAAAAGCAAGAGGCGGGCAGAAAGGACCGAGTGGATCAGAATAAATAAATAAATAGTCGCCTCAATCTAGAACTAAAAAAATAAAATAAAATCACAAGTAATTCCAAACTCATGAAGAAGTGTTGCTTTTTTGTTTGTTTGTTTGTTTTTAACGAGCCACATGTGCCTGTGCAGACACTGCTAAGCTCCTGAGGCTTTGCTGGCTGCTATCAGCACCGTCTGAGCCAGCTGATTTTGTGCAGCCTTTGCCCCCCAATCCAGCCACTTCTAACATAGCCCCTTTCAGGGGAAGGCCTGGGAGTTCTGAGGTTTTGGAAAGCTCAAAACAAACTGATCACTGCGTGCAAAACAATAGTCAGCAACAAGCAAACTGCATCCTGCTCCCAGCTGGGTGAGCGTGAAAAGGGGAAAAATCCCATCAGATATTCATCACTGTCATGCAGCGATGGCTGTGGATCCATCTCTTGGCTCTCAGGCTGCAGACAGCTCACTGCAGGGTTCCCCTGGCCTCAGCCCACCACCCCCGGGTTCCCCTCAGTCAGGGCTCAGCCCTGAGCACAAGGAGAGCTATGCCAGCCAAGAGCTCAGCTTTTGTTTGTCTTCAAATAGTCCCAAACTGAAATGTTTCATGTTCACCATCATACATGTGAGTTTTATGCAAAAGGGCTGTCGTTCTGGATTTACTAAAGTAATGTGCACATAATCACTACTTTAAAGCAAATTGTGTCAGGCAGATGTTCCAGATTGAATGCAATAATCGCTTTCAGAAAACAATCCTGAATCATTTAACCTGGACTGGTGAACCTTGGGGGAGCAGGACTAAGGCAGCATGCAGGCTTCCTCCTCGCCTGCTCACCAGCTTTCAGGCTGGAAATGGGTCTCTCTGTCCCCTTTTCAGAGCACGCTGCTCCCTGGGCTGGATGATGGCTGCTTGAAGGCAACCCATCTGGAGCCCAAAGCTTGTTCCTGCCTAGCCACGCTTCCCAAGATAGCAGCAGAAAGGAACTGGCAGCCACAGAGCCAGGATGACAATGTTCTGCATGGTTTGGTCAGCTGAGCCAGTCTGGGCTGTGGGCTTGACTCAATGTATTGCCCCATCACTGCTGTCTCTCCCAAATGTCAGATCCACTGGCCATTTTGGCATCAGCCTCTTCCAAGGCTTCTTGCTCAATTGCCCATTCGATCTCTTTTGCTTTGCACCTCTAGATCCAGCGGCATCATACAAATTTCATGCAAAGCAGCATCTGCAAGTCTGACATTTGCTTAGGCTTTCCCCTCTTGTGCCAAGTTAAAAATAAATGTCCTACAAACTCTTGGGTCTTCTAAGGCAGAAAAATGCTTTCAGAGAAGTTCAAAAATATAACTGCTAAGAGCGTTACTCCTCTAGGGTCAAACTCTTTCCTTTTGCCTCTCTCACAAATTTTGTTCCTTCCTCACAGGTTTCAATAGCAATGGGAAAACAAAGCGCCTTTGAAATAATCAGCAGATTATATAGAAGCAGTTCTATGTGTTCCTGACTGACTTGCTTGAAATTTAAGCTAACATACTACTGTTAAAACTCCAAAGAAAACAGGTGGTGATATACCCCAACACAAAACAAGAAACTAATACAGCGGAGTCATTTCCAATACTGATTATGAGTAATACTAGTTGTGTCAGATCGTAGGTTCAGATTTCAAAGGGTCTCCACCCCCTACACTAGAGCTACCTTCTCCTTCCTCCAGGGAGAAGTTTGTTCTGAGAGGGACAGAGGGATGTCCAGGGAGACGTTTGTCCCTGACCACTACTCTTGAACAGGTGAAATCATAGGGATGCCAGCCAGATAGATAACGATAAGGTATATCTTAAGGCAACAAGGAGAAGAGTCTGCAAAACAGGAATCTGTCAGGGATGCCGAGCCACTGCTGGGGTCAGTTAGGGCTTGCTGAGCCGTTTGGCCACATCTGCATAGGCTTGCTCAATTTCTTTGTCTGCTGCACAGGTGTTAGTGAACTCATCCCTGGCGTACGCGTTCTTCAGGTACCGCCACAGCCCCGTCATCTCTGTTGGGAACTCGAAGTTGCGGTACTTCTTTGCAACAATCTAAACCAAAGAGAAAAGAGGAAAACAAAGAAAGCATCTGTTGGTGATACATCTCCTGATGGCGTTTCAGAGAGCTTCTTACTCTTTCTTGTAGTACAATTAACAGCAAAGGAGATGAACAGGTGATCAGACACCAGAACAGGCTGTCCAGAGGAGCTGCGTGTTCCACCATTTGAAGTATTGGGTTGGACAAGGCTTTGAGTAACCTGATCTAGTGGAATATGTCTCTGCCCACGATCTTTAAACATCCCTTCCAACCCAAACCATTCTATAATTCTATTTTCTTTTAAATTCTTGGGGACACTTGGACTTAGAATACAACATGTTGAAAGGGCCCATTGGTGATCCCACGCCTTGCAAGGACACCATCTGGCCTAAGGGCACTTCAATACAATTGCCTGGCAACTATCACCAAATTGTGCATTTTAAGGCACATTAAGTTCATTAATTCTACTACTATTTCCTGGTGTTTTCCACCAGTCCTATGCATATCACTTCTTAAAGGTGAGATGCCAAATAAGAGATCTTATAGCTGAATTAAAAATATACAGATTTAGGGGAAAGGCATTAGTAACAGCTAATATGTAATGCATTTTAAAACTGAATACCATATTCAACATATTACATTAGGTATTTACTATTTTTTTTTTTTTTAACATATGTAATATATTTTATTTGGCCAACAAAGTCAGAAGACATAACTGCCTACAGCTGTTGGAAGGCTGTGTCCTTGTTCTCACAAAGGAAAGATTTGGCACGGTATGGGTACCACGATCGAGGAACCAAGATGATTTAGCAGACATTAGAAACAGGACTATTAGCATAAGCTGGAGAAAGAAAATGATTATTTCAAGAGTTGTTAGACTCGGAAATTGTCCATCAAGGGAAATTCTCAATTTCTAAAAATTTCAGGCCCTTATTCAGCAAAATATTTAAGTGCATACTTAATTTTAAGCACCTGTATGGTCCCATTGAAGTCCAAGGGACTAATCTGTGTTTAAAGCTAGCTGGTTGGTTAAGCAGCTTGCTGGATTGGGATATTTCAGTTTCCCTGTAAGAACACACCATACAGAATAATCCTGTGGTGACAGAATGAACTAGCTGATAGGAAGGGACGGATTAGCTGATTTGATGAGTGCTTCCAATCTCTAATTTTTCTGACAGTATAAAATTGTTCCTGAGCATAAATTACATACATATGTGGCACAGAGTTCCCCTTTATTTTAAAAGCACATGGTAGAGCTGTTTTCCATCTCAGCTTTTGCAGGACAGTCATGTTCTCAGAAACGACTATGACTTGATTTGCTTTTATTACCAGCATCCACTTGGTATACGTAACGCCTCATCCTGTCTTAAACTGCATTCAATTAAGCATTCTTGCCTTCAATGATGTTTCACACACACATGGGGAAGATAAAACCTGCTGGGCAACTCAAGTCAAGATTTTCACAATTTCCAGCACACATCTTTCATCAAGTGAAAAACTCCTGATAATTTACCCTTTTCTTACATCTGTAAAATGCTTTTCAGATAATATCCTGTGGTTACGCCTGTCTGAGAAATATTTTAGTTCTCGTTTGACTTCTTTCATTTTGTCACAGTGAAACAGGAACCATTTGATTTTGCATTGTGTGAATCCAGAGTCACCAATCAAGATGAGCCAAAGAAGGAGCTAAAGTTGTGAGGATGTTATTGCAGTTCTCACCTGGTGACTTACACACTTTTATCTATCTTACTGCATGTGTGCCTTCAGCTCCTAGGCTCAGTTTATGTTTTGGCTCACAGAGCCAAATTAGATGCATGTCTTGGTTTTAATTACTAGTTTTCTTGCTTGCCAAGGTCTGCCAGGTACTTGCTTTATCCTAAAGAAAGATGCAGTCCGATAAATGAAATAAATGAAACATTTAGAAGGCAAGATGATGCACATCACTTGCGCTGTACCAGCAACTACTGTGTATCTTACATCCTGGACCTCAGCTGTGACATTGATTTGTTAATTTCTCTGTGTGAAACACCAGCTGGAACAAATACTGCCCCCAAAGACAGACTGTCTCTCTTAAGTCACAAGTGGGTGGGAACTGACTGAAGTTTTGACATCTCTCTTAAGAATAATGGGAAGTAATTAATATGAAAGATGACTTTTACCAGCAGCAGTGTAAAAGCAAAGAGAAAGGACACCCAAATCTCAACACTGTCTTTGCTACTGGTGGGACAATTTTCCCACGTACCAAATACAAAATGGTTTAAGTTAACTTACAGGAAATTCTGAGAAGAATATGTGTCAAACCCTGTTTCCTTAGCACTTAAGATACCTCTGCTGAAAAGCCTGCTGGCTTGACACTTGGCTGCTGGATCAATGGAAGGGACTTCACTCTGTGCATTTCATATATCACTCATTTGCTTATCTGTGAGAGGGAGTGTGTGAATACTGTAAATAGTGTGTAAATACATATGTGTTAGCCTACCATGTAGCACAAACACTCAAAATGTTTGAACCAGAGCACTTCCCTATCAAATAAGGCTTCTTTGTCCATCACATGACATCTTTTACCTTGACAACATGGAGTTTGGGCAGAAGGTTGCAGTCAGCAAGGGTGAGGTCATCTCCATCCAGAAACTTGCGTTTGGACACCTTCTCTTCTTCAGTGCTGTTTGCATCAATCTCCTCTGGCAGAGGGGTTCTCAGATAGTCGTCCAGCTTCTTCAGAGCCTTCACCAAACCTCTTTCAAGGGCTGTGCCAAAATGTAAAGAGTGAGTGGCCAGAAAGAATTTAGAAACATTCACTGTCAATGGCTATTAAACAAAAGCAACGTAACAAAATCAAAAATCAAAGCTACTCAAAACAGGCGAGATATTCAGGGACTGTTAAGATTCTTCTTACTTCAGGTTCATTTAGCTGCAGATTCTCATTCTGATATGTCTTAGATGGAGTGCCACAGTGGAGATAAGTCTTGGGCCTTCAACTGTGAAAGACCTTGTCCCACACTGCTGCTGGCTTCAAGGAACTGAAGATGTAAAATTCCGTTTAGACATGACGCAAAGCAAAGAGCAAAGTTTTTACTTGAAAACATCAACCTGGGGCACAGACTTTGCGTTCTTACACTTTACCTGCAGGTTAGTAGAAAAATGTGATTGCAACAATGTACTTATAGAAAACTGGATGACTGTGCACACATTTGCATGTTATTTGAACTGCAGAGCCTCCAGGGCAAGAAGGATCTTTTGCATCTCTGGAGGGGGACAAGCACGATGTGGTCCCGGCCCCTGACAAGTGCCTCACAGTGCTAAAGCAATATAAATAAGAAACAGCGAGAATTTACAATGTGAAAAAATAACAACATGACTCACGGGCTGCGGGCCAGAATTTCAGCTGGTGAAAATTACCTGCAGTGATTTATACCTGCTGCAGATCTGGCTTGGAGTCAGCGTTTAAGGCCTAATCCTGTAAGATCTTTTATCTCTGAGTAACTTATTGCCATTTAACTTCAGGGAGACTGCTCAGTGCGTCAGGTGACTCACGTGGCGTGGCACTACACTACAAAGCCTCGGGAGATAAATGCATTCATGGAGCACAGCTTGAGCTTCAACAGGCAGCAGCGATCATCCAGGACGGCTCTGGCACCTGCAGCTCTGCTGGCTCTGCTGTGCTGCTGGCAGGGAGGGATGGGCGGTGTGCACAGGGCCATGGATAGAGCAGGAGCCGAGCTCCACGGAACGTGACTTCTCTGCAGCCCTGACATCCACTAAGCCTTGTGCCAGTGGTGGAGGACGGATTAAGCCACCTGATGCCTCGCTCCCTCTGAAGCCTCTTGGCCAAGCACCAGGGAACCGTAGCAGCTCTGTTGTGGCTGACTCTCAGACACAGTGGCAAATCCTGGCTTAATTGATTGACTGGAGGAGTGACTGCGATCCAACTGAAAACATCCCAGCAAACGGAGCAGGGAGGGAAAGAATTTTATTTCTGAAAGCAGAGCAACTAAAGCGACTGAAGTGCTGCCATCCATAAAACAAAAGCGTTGCCATCCCTTATTTAATCAATTTAAATTGAATTTTGACACTGACATTCTGCTGTCAGATCCCGGCAGTGGTGCCTTTAATCGTCTGCAGCTGTGCTCTGCCACACGGCTTCTGCCGAAGGGCGGTGATTTCCTGCTGCGCAATGCTACCCCACGTGGCAACGCTTGGAAGGTCAGCAATCTCTCCTTGGTTTGACCCATCACACCTGCTGAATGGAGAGCTCTCTGTCTCTCGGTCAGCCCCACGCTATATCCTCTTGCAACGAATTCATTTAGAGACAATGGAATCAAATTACTGTGATTTAATCCAATTTTGCCCATTTGGATTTTAGAAAATTGGCTTAACGCTGACTATTTTCCAGCATGCCATTTACCCACTGAGACCTACAGCTCTTTGAGGGATCCGTGCAATGTTCCCGGTGGAAGAGCCACACGAGCTGCCCTGCGCCATCCCATGGCTCAGCTGCACGTGTTTACAAAGCCAGGAGCAGCAGGTGACACGCATTTATGTAAGTTTTTCTGGAACTTATTAGGGATGTGTTGTTTTCTTTTCTCACTGATACACCAAAGTGCGTCATGGTTGTCTCAAAAACAATGCCTGGAGTGGAGCCTGTGTGTGACAGTGGGAAAAACATCTATCTGAATTCATTTGGCGCTTGCATGCAACTGCTTTAGGCCAGAAATAAGCATATGTGCAGGGTTCAACATGTCTGAGACCCAACTCCAGGCTCTGCTGGGACCCATGGGATCCCAAGATCTCCCACTGAAGTCACTATAAGGTGGGACCACCTCAGACTCTGATCATCAATTCAGACCCTGGTTAATTAATACTCCTCCGGTACTGGTAAAGCTCCCAGAACAACTAGGAAAGAGAGGAGCAGTGAATAAGGGAGAGCTGTCTTTCTTCCAATTGGTCAGTGATGGAATTCTGAAAAGAGAATGAACAACCTAAAATTATAATTTCATATAGAGCTTAGGTGTACAAGGCTACTTTTAATTTCTTTTAAAATCATGTTTAGAAAAATAAATAAGTGGGAGAAGAATTGTACTTTTAACAACGTTGTAGGGAGACAATTTTTATGGGAAGTGGACGGCTGAGCTTCAAACGCCTTTTCGAGGTGATCAAACCAGGTCTCCCAGATAAAATCCCACCAGTGGAGCACAGAGTAATCTGTATGGCTTTCCTATTGGACTATTTCCCTTTTCATAAATAATTTTAGCAGATCACCACCACAGAAAGCTGAAACCATGGGTAAACACCTTAAAAAATTAACTCTCATTTGCTCCCTTATCTGTTCAATGTTTAAGAAAATCCATTAACAGTAAAAAAAAGTACGAGCAGAGACTGAGAAACAACATTCTTAGAAAAACCTACATCTCTGAAGGTTCTGGAACCCTTGCTGGGTAACCTGTTGTCTGGGTTCATATTGAGATCAAACCAAGCAGAAGAAGCTCTTCACAAAACTATGAATGGCTTGGGTTGGAGAGGACCTTAAAAGATCACGCAGTCCCACCCCCTGCCATGGGCTGGGTGCCCCCAGCTCAGGCTGCCCAGGGCCCATCCATGGCCTCAGGCACCTCCAGAAATGGGGCACCACAGCTCTGGGCATCAATGAGGCTCACCACTCTCTCAGTAAAAAATTTCTGTATAATGTGTCCTAAATTTCTCCCTTGTATAGTTTTTTAGTCTAAAGCCATTCCATGCTCTCCTATCACTATCAGACTGTAAAAAGTCACTCCCCCTCCTGCTGATGAGCTCCTCATCACTGGAAGGCCGCAGTGAGGTCTCCCCACAGCCTTCCCTTCTCCAGGCTGAACACCCCCAGCTCCCTCAGCCTTTCTCCATACAGAGCTGCTCTCAGCATCCTCCTGGCCCTCCTCTGGTCCCGCTCCCACAGCCCCACATCCCTCCTGTGCTGGGGGCACCGCAGCACTGCAGCCTGACAAGGGGCAGAGCACAGGGGACAGCCCCCCCGTTGTCCCCCCAACCTGATGCCACCCTCTGCTGATGCAGCCCAGGACAACAACAGCATTCTGAGCTGCAAGGTCACACTGCTGGCTCACGCTCAGCTTTTTTATCCATCAAGACCCCCAAGTCCTTCTCTGCAGTGCTGCTCTCTATGAGTTCTCTCAGTCTGTACTCGCATCTGTGATTCTCAACCCCAGTACCTTAGATTCTCTTGTGATCACTTTTAGAGCATCTCCAGGTCCCTCTGGATGACATCCCTCCCTTCTTTTGTGTCAGCTGCTCCACTGAATTTGGTGTCATCAAGGAAGTTGCTGAAAGTACACTCAATCCCACTGTCTATGTCACTGATAAAGATGTTGAAGACTACTGGTCCCAAGGCAGACTCCTTGGGGACACTGCTCATCACAATGGACATAGAGCCATTGACAGCAGCTCTCTGGCTACAAACATTCAATCAATTCTTTATCCACTGAACAGTCCATCTTTCAAATCCGTCTCTCTCCAATTTAGAGATAAAGATGTGGTGCAGGTTCACATCCAAAGCCTTGCACAAGTCCACGTAGATGACAGTGTCCTCCCTTTATCCACTGATGTCATCACTTCAACACGGAAGGCCATCAGACTGGTCAAGTACAGTCTCCCTTGGTGAAGCCATGGTCTTGAAGCTGCAGTGAAGCTGTGCTGGCTGTCACAGATCACCACCTCGTATCACCTCTGAACCTCCCACAGTATGGCTATTTTGTGAAAATCTGGATGACTTGGTATGTTGCCTCTGTTGAGAACACAGGGAGCAGCAGGCTCTCACTGGGACATTGTGAATACCACACACAACAACAGACTGAAGGAAGACATTTAAAAAGATGCGACCAACTAAAAGGTGTAATTTTCCTTTTGCCAATATAGTACCCATAATAAATTTTGAAAGTCATTACACAGCTATTGCCCTTTATAACTTATCCTCATGGTAACATCATTAAATAACAGGTTTGTTGATACGAGCAGGAGCTCAATTGCACGTCAGTCACTGGGATTAATCTTCCCTACAGTGTATAAATTAAATGAATTGTTTTGAATTAAACACACTGAGCTTCCTCTGTATCCAGGGGTATCTTCTCTACTGCACTTGGTTTGCATGACCTGAAGTCAGTTGTATGGAGAACTTTTCCTGAAGCATCTAATAGCCTCGCATTGTGCTGGTAATGTCAGGGTGGAGTATTCAGTATTACAACACCAAGTGGAACTATGCCTGAGAATGTTGCTCTGTGCTGCTTTTGAAATTTCCACCTCCAATTGCTTTCCCACCCTGCAGACTTGCAGTATGAACTTAGAGAACCCAAATGTGGCCCAGCCCTGCATGAGGACTGCTGTCATCAGGTTTTCAGTGCAAGATCTGCAGAAGTCTGAACTCACACAAACTGTCCAGAGAAATCACTGAGCACAAATGCACCAGAACTATTTTGCCTCCCTCCATACTGATATATTTAATATAACCTCAAATTCCAACAAGTTCTATCCATATATATTTAAAATCCATGGTGCAATCATCTCTCTCAGGCTTCACAGCTGTGTTCTGGGCTATTTAGGCAAAGACAACTTACATCAATCACAGCCTGTTGTGTCCTCCCACCAACAATGAACAAATAATATCAGTAAAAATAACTCACGAGTTCTTTGTGACATTCCTTCCCTACTCAAAACTATACCTTTATACAACTTCCCTTAAGAATTCTGAGTTAGAAGCCAAAAA